GCCGGATTGTCTATTCCGGCAGCTCCTCACCAAATACCCCTATCTTACCCCTTCTACATTCAACGTTTCTATCCCACAGCACAATGTGCCCCACCACATCGGTATCACTGACCTGTCATAGTGCAGTGGATCGCAACTCGAAGATTCCTAAATCATAAGTCAGGGAGACAGATATGGTTTGACAGACTTTAGCGATGCGAAAGAGTGTACAGGATGCTCGGCAGGCAGTAGCAGCAGCAGCAAGGCGTCTTATCACATGAGTGGCAGCCGCTGATGTTAGCCCCCGCGCGGGGCTCGTGTACGCATCTGCAGGTAATGAACTTAGGACGCAGAGTCGATCTGTCTTAAGCTTTTGCTAAATTTTCTCCAAGTTTCGTGAGGCTCAAGCCATCGGACGTCTGGGGGCGTGAGGCGGCCGCACCGGCGACCGCGTTGGCAGCCAAACGGTGGGCGGCGTGTAGCGGTGTTGAGGGAATTATTCGTGTCTAAAAAACACGAGTTACTATTTTGATCAGGAAAGCGAATACGGCGTCCACTGCGTGTGACATACATCGGAGGAGCAGGAGGAGAGGAGTTAGTGTGTGCTGTGGTTGGAAAGTTAGAGGTGAGTGGAGCAGTTGTAGTTAGTGGCAGTTGACGTGAGGAAATAGAAAGTGGTCGAAATCGAGGGATAGAGGTAGGTAAGGTGGGAGAGCAGGGGTCCATATGGCTCATCCAGAGGAATGTCCGGGACAGCAGCTTTGATGCGGTCCACATTCACGACCTCTTCGCGAGTTCCGTGTTGGATGCGAAACGGCCCCGTCCCTCGTGAGGCAACCCGGAAGGGACCGTCGTAAGGTGGCTTCAATGGCGGACAGACTCAACCGCCTCGGAGATAGACATGAGAGCATGTCGTCAAGTCTTTTTCAAAATAAGACCATGATTAATTTGGCCTGGGCAGAAACAGGAAGATTTTCCACAGGAATTGCCGGAGACGATGCAGGAGGGCTGTTTGGGGTTTCCACCGCATCATGAGGGGTTAGTGAGCCCTTCTGACCGGGAAGTCGGGCAGCGGCACCGAACACCATTTCAGCGGCGGAAGAGTTAAGGTCCGACTTTAGACCCGGGCAGATGCCCAGGAAAACCAGGGGAGATTGGTAGTCCTGCTCTCCGAATCCTCGGAGTCGCTAAGGGAGGTCTTCAGCTGTCAGTAAAACCGTTCGATTATATCCTTGCCAGTCTGACGATAGAATGTCGTACGGTTGCGAGTGCAGACTACAATGATAGGAGAGACAAGACGAGCAGAGGAATGGCTTTCGGACGCCGGGTACCGCGGTCCACACAAGTGAGAGGGTAAGAACAACCATTGTACAGAGACAGGTGGCCTACAATGTCTAGATGGATGTGGCTGACCACTGTACCTGGGCCGAGAAAAGTGTCGATAGGAACCCTATTATGCCGCTGGATACTGCTCGTTGACAGCCGAAACATGCCCGGGTCCAAGTTTTGAGGTCCCTGTGTATTTCAGGGTCAGACGAAGCGATCAGAGAACATTTTTTCGGTAGCCCGACTCTCAGGGTGATAGAGTTTTTGCGGGAAGAGACCTTACAGTTAAGGTTAGACGACAAAAAGGAATCGTAGGAAGCGGTGATATCATGCAGAATGATGCTGTCGCCAGTAATCAGACAGGTCACAGTATTGGAGTCGGGGGACGTCCTCGTTTCAGGGGAAGCCAACACGACGTTGCTCAGCAGCCATCCCAGTGAGGTCGATCTTGAAAGAAAGCTGAAGACGAGCGACTGAGGTTCTGAACAGCGCATCAACCACCTCATTCTCTGAGCAGGCGATGTGACGGATGTCTGAGGTAAACTGGAAGATATAGTGCAGTTGGAGGAGAGGATCTTACAGAGTTGGGTTTGTCAGAGTTCGACTTGAGAATGCAGAAAAGGGGATTGTGATCCGTGAATAAGTGAAGTCTCTATCCTTAAAAATTGCCGAAAATGTTTCGCGGCTAGGTAGACAGATAGAAGCTCCCGCCCAAATGAGTTATAGCGCGATTCGTCAGGTGATAACTTTCTGGAGAAAAAAAAGTAGGGGTTGGGTCTGGCCTGCGAGGTGCTGCTGGAGAACTGGGCCGGTTGCAGCATTGAAGGGATAGACCATTAGTGAAATAGGCGCCTCGAAAGCATTGTGGGTCGGGAGGGTGGCGCCGACCAGGGCGGCTTTCGCCTTCCCAAAAGCAGAGAGATCGTCTGCGGAAAGTTTGAGCGAACATGTGGGACATAAAAGGAGGTTCATGAGCTGCAGAATGATGTCGGCACAGCTTGGAACGGATCGGCGACAAAAGTCCATCATACCAAGAAAAGCGCTGCAGTTGACGCTTGGCAGTGGAGGAGGTAGGAATTCGCGGATGGCTGCGACCCTCGAAGGAAAAGAGTAGATGCATATGGAGTTGACCAGGTGTTCGAGAAATTCGAGGAAGGGGACACCGAAGACACTCTTGGAGGGGTTGAAAACAAGGTCAAATTTTTGAGGGCGGCCAAACACACGAGATGTTCCACCTTTTCTTCGGAGGTCGAGCTGGCTATCGAAAGATCGTCAATATGGGCCTAGACAAAGGATAGGCCATGAAATATTCCGTGAACGAACCTCTGAAAGATTTGGAAAGCTTTGCGGAGTACAAACGGCTTACGTAAGAACTCGGAGTGGCCAACGGGATGGTGACAGCCGTTGTCAAAACGTCCTCCGAGACGGCGGTAATTTCGTGGAAAGCTCGGACCAGGTCGATATTAGAAAAGACAGACTTGGTGGATAAGGTACCAGCAAAATCCTGAGGATGCGGGATTGGATAGCAGTTCGGGATGATAGCGTTGTTCAAGGGCACATGGTCGCTGCAGTGGTGGCCATGGGAACCATGTGGAGGGGCGAAGCCCAAGCGCTTTCAGGTTGACTGAAGATGTCCTTGTGAAAAGTGTGCTTGAACTCAGCCTCGGCAGCCGAAATACGTGCAGACGCGAAACGGCGCTGGCGAGAAAACACGAGAGAACCAGTGGTACGGACATTCTGGACAAAATCGTGCGGAGGGGCAGAGCATTGAAGTAAGGACGGGTGAGATAAGAGTATGTGGCGGAGAGCTGCCGGAATGGACTATCAGGGTCAGGGTTCAGGATGGCAAGGTGGCGAGACACCTCGGAGGAAGGGATGCCCCAGACGGTGAGACTGGGGGTTTGGCCGTGTATAGGAGACCGTCAGAAGCCGAACGGAAGATCGGAAGCTGAAAGGAAGTCTGTGCCAAGAATGCACAGAGAGCGTCAGCAATGACGAAGGCCAAAGGAAAGAGACGCCGGAGTCCTATGTCCAGGGAGAGGGAGCAGGTACCGAAGGTAACGATCAGGGAGGTGTCGACGGCTGGAAGGAAGAGGCCGGAGTTGAAGCATCGACGGTCGGTTGCTTTGGGAGGATGACACTCAACTGAGGACCAGTATCGACCAGGAAACGTCTGCTAATCTGGCTATCGCGGACGTATATGTGACCGAGAATAGAGATGCCGATAAGATTAATCACACTGACCTTCGGGCTGACCCGTTTCGCCCGTTTGCTCGGGTGGGAGACGACGGAGTAGACGGAGATGCAGCGACGGGCCTTGGCAGAAAAGGTTGTATGGTACCGGCACTGCCGGCTGTGTTGAGACTAGAAGGATGTGTAGACTGGACATGCCGGGCAGATGACCTCGGCGGACTCCGGAATGAAGAGGTGGCTACCTGCTTCTGAGTAAAGGTTGCGTCATAGGCAAACTCCACAATCTCAGACTCCAAGTGGAAAAGAGGAAACACAGAATCGACTAAGAAAACGGGCGGTGTGGCAAACGATGGCTTGGAGAAGTTGTTAATCTCCGCATGCCGGTCGGTCATCTGACTGACTTGAACGCCCTAAATGGGGCTGGAGGCGGATGCCAAAATGTGCCGCACTTCTAGTGGAAAGTAGTCCATCATCACCGTAAGGCTATAGCGGAGGATGGGGAGAAGGAAAACTGGCGTTTGTAGGGAGTCAGAAATTGTTGAAGCACAATAGCCAACAACGTGAAGACTCTTAAACCTAAAGCCTGGGAGAGAGAGAGTTGGTTGGGCAATCTTTACTGAGGTAAGAGAACGTAGTCGAGGCGCAGCAAGCAGTCGCGAAGAACGTTCTCTTCAGCCGAATGACTGTTATTGAGGTTTCTTAACAATGACGCGAGTTGCATGCGTGCGTCTGAGCTTTGTCCGTCTGCGAGGGATGCTGAGTCTATTGGCGTCAAGTTCTCGCCATGGCAAGGCCAAGTCAGGC